TTTTTTTTTTTTTTTAATTACTTTTGAGAAATCTTTCTATGGTAATTCGGATTTGGTATGATACGTCTTAAAACACGGTATAATACATAGAGTTTCGTGACAGATATTGCATTCATACTTAGAGCGTCGTTTTATTTTCTTCATAACGCAAAGTTTACACTTACGCTGTAGAATTGCAGATGAACCTTTGTTAGAAATTTCAACAGGGAAATGACGTCCTGTTAGTCGTGAATGAGTTGGAGCTAAATATGAATGTTTATGAACTTCAAGATTGAATAATCTTCTAACTACTTCTATACGGAACTCTGGAAAAGAAAGTTTTTTTTCCACTTTTTGATTGTACAATACGTGAGCGTTTGCCAATGCTAAATCCACAAAATGAAAAAATAATTTTTGATACCATTTCATAGTTTTTCTAATGGTTTCTGTTATAGATAACTGCTTATCTATATTATCGATCCCTCCCATATTTTTATTATACTCACAGATACAGAGTGGTTTCACGATATCTTCTTTAGTTCGCCAATGTTTTTTACCGGTAGGGCTAAATCTAACTTCATGGACTGTTGTGATCATGTAAACTTCTCTTTTGTCCATCCATTTCATTACTAACCAGACGTCATTGTGTGCGACCTGAATCTCACCTTTATTTAGTTTATTCTCTAACCTTGGCATGAATTTCCTATTCTTCTTCACAGTTCCATAGATTCCTGTGTCACGGTGATGTAGAAATTTGGCCAATTCTGGAGATGAATACCAATTATCCACGTAAATGACGTGACCTTTGTTGAAAAAATTTTTTAAGAAATGAGCTACAATGTCACCAGTAATACCCAAACCAAACTTTTCGTAATCGGTATCTGAACCTGTATATACAATGAAATCTATCAAAAATCCAGTTTTACAATCAACTAGGTTAAACAATTTGATACCAAAACGATGTCGTTTCAACGGTAAAAATTGTTTGAAGTACAGCTTCCCTTTCCATAAAATTAAACTTTCGTCAATATAAAGATTCTGTCCTGGTAATATAGAATTTGAAAATTTTTCTCTTAGATCGTCAATTACAGGTTTCAATTTTTTCAGAGGATGATTCACTATTTCTTCGTTGTTTGAAAAATGCAAACATCGCAAGATTTGGAGATATCTATTTCGACGCATGATCTTTCTAAAAATTGGAGTTTCCAACAGAGGATCTGTGCTCCAATAATTTTGAATTGCACCTTTTCAAACGTGTCCCATATTGATTGTTGTTCCAAGAAAAATCCGTAATTTATCAACTGTAAGAGGTTCCCAGGACTTCATATTTTATCGCGGGCCTTCAGGGTTTTGTTCCTGGTATAGATTTGTTTGTGCTGTTATCATTTCTAAAAGAATTAAAGTGAAAAAAATTTCGAAGTAGCACAATGGAGTATCATCTGGAACAGTAATAGTACTCTGAATACCAGGTGAACCTGTGAAATCTTTTATGGAAGAATAAAATAAGGTATCATAGATAACATCAGGATTATCTTCATCAATATCAATAAGTCATCATCTACAGCTTCAGATGCACCAGTCATATCATGTTCATTATCGGATTTTTCTAATTCTGATTCGCCACTGCTAAAGTCTACAGTTTCAACATCCATTATAATTATCTAGTTGAGAAAATCGGAAAAAACTAGATAAAAGAATAAATATCACGAGAAAATAAAGAGTAATGAGAGCAACACGTATATATCTAATACAGAGTTTTGCGATAAGGTGGTGGCCTCTTTATATATAAGGTCATGGGCACAATCTTATCATGGGTTAAACTTGATGGGTTGCCACCTGGTGAGAGAAATCGAAACTAAGCATAGGATTATAATGTGTACCGAGTTCTTAGTCAATTGTAAAATACTGAGCATGTAACATTCAGGGGCAAAATATATATGCGCGCGCGCGCGTATGTATGTGTGTGGAGAAGGGAGTGTATGTGTGTACATATACTATATATAAGTACTTATACGTATTTATATATACTTCTTGTGGAAGTTTATGCATGTTTTGATAGGCTGCTCAACAGCGTCTATATATAGACGCTCCGGCAGCGTAAAGGTTAATGTCTGCTAACAATTTATCATCAACATGGGTGACAGATACGACCGCAAATAATCGCTATTTTGTTGCGTGAATGTCAAACAGATAGTGTTGTAGTCTTGCGTGCGAACAGGTTACACAAATGCTCGAACAGATCTGCTTGGCGTTTGCTGGCAATCTGTCGTCAATGCATTCAACAGATCGACCTTATTGCAATCACCTTTCTGTCGTAAACAAATGCTGCTATGGTTTTGCGGACTGTTTGGTTACGGTATTCCTAAAAGCAGAGCTGCTTGTTATCAATCGTTTATTTATCGTCAACTTCATCGACATTTATGTATTTGCTATTGATACAAACTCTCATATATATTGCCGACAGAGTTTGTTGCGTCTTTTGTCTTCGTGTGCTAACAGTTTTAACAGCACCAAAACATGTTTCCCTTTTGTAGCGTTTCAGGAAATAGTTTCTGTTTGTCAAGTCTGCGCAATCAGAAATTGTTTGCGGGATATCATACATACTTTACACTTTTTATTTCTGTCGAGCCCGGTAAAAAATTTTTCATATATACTTATACACAAATTAGAATTATTATATCTCATTATCCAAATTTATATGCCGAATATGTCCATACAATTTTATACACGAAGAATTTTTTTTAAGAGAATGGCTTCAGAGATATTCCATATCAAATTACAAAATAACTTTATTAGTATCATGTTAGATACAAAAAATTATATAAAACTATATTTTTACTATATTTTTAAAAAATTTTTGATATATAATCATATATACTTATACATAAATTAAAATTATTATATCTAATTATACAAATTTATATGCCGAATATGTCCATACAATTTTATACATGGAAAATTTATTACCAGGAGAGGAGAGTATTTCTCTGCTGTGTCTAGATTCTATGTAGAATAAGGGAATATAGATAGACAAGTATACAATAAAAGATGAACACAATTAACACATCAACACAATTAACTTTTTTTTTTATCGCTTAACACTGCAACATAAAAAGATTTTTACATAAGATAAATAAGAATAAGAAAAGAAATATACATGTTTTTTATACTTTCTAACAGCGTAACCTCGAATTTTGTGAGATGTAATTAATAGACAAAGTGTGAAAAATATTGCAATAGTATATAAAAATGTATAAAAAATTAATCTTAAACTTTATTTCCTTTATTTCCTGTTTACTAGGATATAATTTAGATAAAAGAAAAAAGAAGAGTACCTTTAATTAATAGGGGTTAGGGTTAGGGTGCAATTGTGGCTCGCGGGCTACAGAGGCAGCTCATACGCCATTCCAAGATCAGTTCATATAACACACTTAAAGTAAATGTTTTACGCAGGCGACTCGCCTGTTATCACCACTGTTAAGAAAACTGGTGTAAAAACACCGAAATAGTTCAAAAATGTCTTCTGCGTCACTATCCACGTCCGACCGTTACGACCGTCAATTTGGCCAATTTTCCTCTTTTACCTTTAAGGCTGCGTTTCATAATGTAAGAACAACAAGTGAGTTATTCCGAAAATGCGCAGTAGCAACCAATCAGAGATTTGGCCAAAATCGTAAAGCAATATGCCGGCAACGTAGTGGAAACTGTCAATCATAGAATCGTGTTAGTATTTGATCTATTCTATTTTTTACTTTCAAACAGAAAAATGCCGACTTGTATTCAGTATTGTAAAAATCGGAATTTTAAATCAGAAATTAAAAATTTGTCGTTTTATACCCCATACAGCACCGAAAGATTGCAGAAACATTGCATCAACCTTGAAAACGTTGAAACATTGTAATATTGCATGGTAGTTGCGAAATATTTCTGCAATGTTACTGCAAGCTTACGGCAACGTTGAAATGTCCGCCTTCAAAAATATTGCAATGTAAGATTAAAGTAATGTTATCGTGCAATGTATTTGTAATTTTAAAGCACAATGTATTGTAATATTGAAACGCATTGCACAAATATGCAAATTGCTTCAAATTTAATAGAGAAAGACACAATGAAAAATGATGTCACACAACGAACATGACTCAACGAAGTTATTGCAACAAGTTTGTTTTCATCTTGGATGTCTTGGATGTCTTTATATATTGTCAAAGTTTATTTATTAAATGCGAAGCAATTTGCATATTAAAAAAGTATATATAAATTGTTGGTTTTCTATAGAAATTAATTAAATAATTTTGTTTTATCCAATTAATATTGTTACTTTATTTTATATAGTATTTTATACATTTCACTTTTAGGTACATAAGAAAAGTCGCTTTTTACATAAAATATATGTATACTCTTTAAATAACATAAAGTAAAAACAATGATGCACAGAAAAAAAACTCTTTTACTTTTGCTAGATTAATCCGTCATTTCTTCGCGCATATCTATATATTGCATTTTACTTTTTCATTAATATGTAGTTATGTAATCAGGTAAGTAACGTATCATTAATATAGTTATATCTTTAGTACATGTCTCTTTTTAAGTGTATCTTTGGTAAGTATATATTGTTAGGTATCACATAAAAATATTGCATACAAGTGCAAATATAATTGCAAAATAAAAACTTTTTTTTATACAACTGCTTGAGCACATCAGGTGTATGTAGAGCATGTGTTTACCTTGGTTCCGTTGGCCTAGAAATTTAAAACCAAAGAAAGTTAAAAATTATATTCAAATAATAAAATATTTAGTAAAATAAAAATAATTCATAGTAAGTTTACATCTTCTATATGTTTTGTGACTTCCATATTTAATATTATATGTATATATATGTTATATATCTATATAAATATATATTGATGTACGTACCTTTCTCTTTGACATCTTAAGTTACCTTGAGCAAGCCATTTTGATATAGACGTAATAATCTCAGTGTCGTTTGCCTGCGTATATATTGTACGAACAGACTTTATAATGCAAAAGTATATGATAGAGTATATTGAAAATATTAATTCTGAAATATATATATTGATAAAAAATAACATGGAAAAGTGTTGCAATTATGCTGATGCCAAGAAAATATATAGGGAAAATCTTTTCAAGTGCTACATTATATATAGTTAAAACCAATTTTACAATAAAATTATAAAAACTTACGTATGATTATATTTGCAAGTTTCAAGTCTTTGAAATTGCGCTTAGCTTTTTTACCAGCCTAGCTGAACTGTAGAGCTAAAGTATTTGTGAATACTTTTTTTAACATGTTGCGTATCATTATATGTGGATTGCTTCCACCAACCAGCTTTAAAATATAAAGCTAAAAAATTAAAGCGTATAAATAATATTAGATTTTACACACACACATATCTGCCTGAGTATATACTAATGCTAATAGTAAAAAAATAGCAGCTATTAAATATATAATACCATTTGATTTCTAAATCTTTTTTCTTCTAATTGCTCCTCAAATAATTGTAATTCATCCAGTGATAATATTGGTAATTGAATATCTAATTCTTCGTTTATATTTATTAGATGTGATATTTTTTCTTCAAGCAAATTAATTTTATTTTGCAATATGTCCATTTTATATAATAGTTTATTTAATTTAAATAAAATTTGCTTTTTAAATTCTGTAACAATTATTATGTGATTGTAGTATTGTATGCGTTTGTATGCGTATGTGTGTGAATACACGCGCGCTTTGAAATGAATATTAAATAAATAAAATATATATTTGTCTACATACATATACGCTTTTATAATAACAAGAAAAAAGCATTAGGAGTGCGTTTCATGCATATGCGCATATAATCTATAGTATACGTAACGTGTACTATAAATAAATACGCGCATATGCATGAAACAGAACGCATTTTTAAGATTAATATACGTACCATCAGAAACATTTTCTTTATTCATATCAGCATCAATAACAGTTTTTTCAGCATATATTGAACTGCTTGGAATGCATTGTCCGGAAACACCTGTATAAAAAAAAAAAGAAAAAGAGTACAAATGTTAGTACAGATTATTTATGAATAGTAAATAGATTGTTTCTACTTACTGCTATTATATCTTTTATTAGTAGTTTCTTCATTAGAAGTATCTTCAATAACAGTGTTTTCAGCATATATTGAACTGTTTAGAATGCATTGTCTGGAAACACCTGTCTAAAAAAAAGAAAAAGATAAAGAAAAAGAGTAGAAATGTTAGTACTGATTTATGAATAGTAAATAAGTTATTTTTACTTACTGCTCTTATTGTACGTTTTATCAATGAAAGTTCCTTTATGTGATGTGTTAATATTTTCTATAACTTCGCTCATTATAGGCTTACTTGATATATAATCTTGTAATTGTGGAAAAGGAGGTAGTTTCTTCTTTTTGATGTGTCGATTTTCTTTATTTTCTTCGTCTGAAAGAAGATAAAAAATACTTTTTTGCATTTATGCGTTGTTTTTGTTTTTTTTTCTTTTTCTTACCTCGTCAGATGAAATTTTATTTTCTATATTAGATGTATCCTGCGCAACGACTAATTTTTTAACTCCCTTTTCATAAGTTTCTTTATCGAAAAAAAAACAAAATATGAGTTATACATACATGTATGTATATATATATATATATATATATATATGTATGTACATACAAGAAAACGTTATTTATGTACCTGCCACAGCAAACATTCGTTTTACGGGTAGTTTTTCCCAATCTAATTCATTTTTTGGTATTTCTTGTCTTATTATTGCTGTGTTAATGCGGAGTTTTGTTTTATAATGACTGGGCCAAAAACATGACTGCTTGTCAGCGTTATACCATATTGCTGGTACTAATTGCAGTCCGTCGTGGAACTCCAAAANAATATATCCACAACTCATTCTTCTAGCGTTTCAAGAAAGATTGTATATTTGTAATTGTATATAAAAGAATTTTATTACAAATGTTTTAAAATAACAATATACAATATATCAAAGTACATGCTTTAAGGAAAATATTGCAAATGTATTTGGTTCACTTTCATATACAATCTTCCATGCTTTATATAGTAACTTTGTAATTGGCCAGAAATATATAGTGTATCACTTTTCACAATCATTACTTTAATGCCGAATTGGCTTGATTCGCTATGTTTATCATACAAATCTTTTACATATGTAAGCTTCTTACCAATGAAAAATATATTATTATTGTTATCTTCGATTATATTCAAAACCAGAATACAGATGCCATTTTTTAAAATACAGCAATTATTAGCAAAACTTTTACAATTTATATAAAATTTATTGTTAGATATCTGCAAATATTGTGATTTAACATTGTAATCACAAATCGGTCCATTATTATGCAAATTATGACATGTATATAATTTTGTATTATTGGAATTATTTTGTAACAATGATGATATATGTTCAGCTTCTTTGTATCTTTTTATTAACTGTTGTAGTGGCTTTTCATTTTTTCTTAATTGTTTTTTTATGCATGTTATAAAATTTTCAAAACGGAATGCACTGAAATTATCTACTGGACTAAATGTTCTAACATCAGAACATAAACGAATTATGAACATTATGTGATACGTATTCTGTACCATACAGTATTTCAAAAGACATGACAAAATTGTGAAATAAAGCTTCAGCAAATTTTAAAAAATACCCTTGGCATAAATTTGGACACGTAATAATTGTCATAGCTGCATGGAGTATAAGAAAATGATTATATAACTCATTTTTTAATATATGACGTAATACTATAGGTCCTGTATATAAAAGAAAATATCTAAATTCTACTGCTTTCCAGTGTTTAATATCGCTAATAGATCTTGGCTTTCTAATAAATTCTTTTGGCGTTGAACTTTTAATTAGAAGTAACAAATGTGATATTTTATTTAATGCTTTTCTGTTTAACCGTACACATAGCGGTCCTTTAATCCAAAGAAGAATCATTTTTTTCACAACGCCTAAACATATTAAATGCATATAGTCTAATGGAGTTCGAGTTAGAGGTAAGAATCCTGGAATATTATTCAAAATACTGTAACCAATTTAAAAATCTTTGTAAGCTTGCATGGCAAATAGTTTGTCTGTTCTTGTAGGATATAATTTTCCACTTGGAAAACAAATTCTTCCGTTTAGATATTCTCCTTTGATAATGCATTCTGTGCAACTGTCAAAGCCGATATGGTTTTTTGTACATAAAACAAAAGATTTTGCCGGTGCATCACATATTAAACCAGCCAAACTAATTTTTATTACTTTATTATTATGAACATAACCTTTGTTTATAAAATAAATTAAATCATTTACTAAAGCTTGTAAAAAAACATTTGAATCTNTTGGTTTCTTATGTCCAAAAACTGCACCAACAAGATACACATCTTTATGCGTCATATTGGAACATAAAATAAGCCATAAAGATGCGTTTGATGATTTGGCTAAAAGAACACCGTCAATATTGAGTAAAAGATGAATATGTTCATTATTACATTTCAATAACATGGTTCTAATTATGTTACTAAAACCCCAATAAAAATATTCTCCTCCACATATTTTTAAAATTTCTGTTTGTCGTGGAGTCTTTAACACTGTCCGTGCATCTTTAAAAAAATTACATGATGTATGTTCTTGTAAAATCTTTAATAATGCGTTACATGCATTGTGACGAATGTTATATTTTATACTCCATTCAGCTATGGCATTTCTAAATGCTTCTTCATTATTATTCTCATTATTTATATTATTATTTATATTATTATTATCATTTCTATTATCATTTCTATTATCTATATTTAAAATTTGTGATATATTATCATCATATTCTTCTGTAGTTTTATTTACATGTTCATAATTATTACTAGATAAAACTGAATACGTAATATTTACTTCAGAAGTTGTATTAAGACCTGAATTATTATTTATTTCAACAGAGGTACTCTTACCATTTGAAAACTTTATGAAAGCTTGTGTGGAAGATTCTGCAATATCTATTGCAGTTTTACTTGCAATAATTCGTCTAGCATGACGTTTGGAAATGTCAATATTACTATTTTGTGCACTATACATATTAAAAACCAAACTTTTACATACAAATATACAATTACTACGCTGTAAAAAAGTGAATATATTAATGTTATAAAGACATATTTATCAAGTAATAATGTGCTGAGTAATCATTTAAAGAGTGACAGAATTTGATATTTATCAATAAAAATCAAATTGCAGAAATAAGAAGGCAATTTATACCAGGGGTTTTGCCTAATAATACACTCGAGAAGGATAATCCAGACGTTTTGACTTTTTATTTAAGTCATCATCAGTGGAAAAAAAATTAGAAATTGTAAGCAAAGAAATTAACGATATGGTCTTACAGGAACATGTTGGTTAAATAAATAGTCTTGTAATAAAATCAAGCAGATGAAAGTGTTAATTTGAAAGCATCGTCAACATTAAACTCGTCAACACCGACACTGACAGTACTTTTCATCTTTTTCACTTTATTAGACCATTTATTCAACATTCCTATAAAACCACATCGTCAATTCCTTTGATTTGAAAAACTGTTATAAATTCCAAGTTTTTTTCCACCAATGACTTTAATAAACAGCTAAAACGTCTGGATTCTCTTTCTCGAATTTATTATTCGGCAAACCACCCTGCCTTTAGTTTGAACTGCTTATTTATTTCTACAATTTGATTGATAAAGTATTTTAAAATCACTTCAGCAATACGTGATAATAAAATATAATATTTAAATTTTATTGCGATTTTAAAAGTTTAAGTACCGCTTTGACAACCATTGTCACATACTATTGTACATGTAATATTACTGCTAGCCAGTAATTAGAATCACGTAGTATGATTTTGCTTTGTAATATTATAAATTTCCAAAAGCATAAACATATTAAAAGAAATATACAATATCATATTACAAGAAATATACATATGCATCAGTGATTTTAGAAGTAATTATTAACTTACTTTACGCTTTTAATATCTGTGAAGAAGAGAGTAATCTCTCTACTGTTTCTATATTGTACGCAAAGTAACAAAATCCAAATGGACAGGAATAAAAGATGAGGCAGCACAATAAACTTTTCTTTTCCGATTTTCACTGCAACATAAAAAGATTTTTATGTGAGATAAAGAATAAGAAAAGAAATATACATATGTATAAATGCTTCAAACCCTTACAAAAAAGAACTACTGTCGATTACATATAAATAAAGTCAGTAATATAAATATTACTGACAATGACATAGGAATATTATTAGGTATTACAGGAATCACTGAGAATATTACTGGCAATTATACAAAATGCCAGTAATTTTTTCGTACTACTGCCGCAATATATTACTGCCAGTAATTCTTTTTCGTAATAGAAGATAGTATTAAGTCATTTCTTTTTAGAACAAGATTTTTACATTTTATCAGATTGACAATTTCTAATAATAACAGTATGTACAGACATGCGTACATATACAATCATTATTAGACTGTCAATCTAATAACATGTACAACTTTTGTTTTTGAGAAAGTAATATACTATATACATAACACTGTACTCTACTTCTGAGTAATACATAGGTATATATGTTTTAATAAAGTAATATTGTATATGTAATTTTATAAGTAATTATCATACTTACTTTACACTTTTTATCTCTATCGAGAGGAGAGTAATCTTTTTACTGTTTCTTTATTCTATGCAAAGAAAATCCAGACAGAAATAAAAGATGAGGCAACACAACACTTTTAACGTTTTCTTTCTGCTTTACACTGCAACATAAAAGATTTTTATATGAGATAAAGAACGAGAAAAGAAATATACATATTTTTTATACGTTCTAAGGCATAACCTCGAATTGTGTGATGTGTGATAATAGATAATATGTAAGAAATATTGCAATAAAAATGTAGAATAGAAAATTAATCTGAAACTTTATTTCTTTCTGTAATAAGATATAATATAGATAAGAAAAAAAGAAAAATTACCTAAGTAATACGATTTTGTGGTNAAGACGCGTAGAGATCACAAGAAACCGGTACCGGCACTCACTACCAATGTTCACAGTTTTAGCAGAGAGAAGCTTGAGAGTGGCCAGGCCCATAATAGTTTTTACGATCGCTATTCCGGCCCGTAAGTTAGCGCATGTCCATGGGTGGTGCACATTGGCAACTACGTAGCGATGTCCACGAGCGACTTGTCGATACGTACGCTATGTCCAAACGTGGACATGGTTCTATTCCGTGCTATGTGCACGATTCCAAGCGTCGAGAAAGATCAAGCAGCCGGCTAGCACCGAAGTGGTAGGGGAACGCACACAAGCGAAACCGCCGTCGTCCGTGTGCGCTCGTGGAAGAGTGCAGACTGCAGACCTTAGACCATATATACTTATAGCAGAGAGAAACCTGAGAGCGGCCATCCTATAGTAATTTTTTACGACGGTTTCAGCCGCTGGTTTTAGCCGTATTTCCACAAAAGTGGAACTCAAAGGCCGTT